AGGGATAGGCGAGATCGCGGGCAGTAGAGTTTTGACCGGCAATTAATTGCCAGCTAGTCAAGCTTCGCGACCATAACGAGTGTTTGTGCGGTTGAGTACCATATAGCGACCATCAGCAAGAAGGAAGACCTGCTGCATCGAGAATCCTGCCTTTCGAGAATTACATCGCTTACTCAGAGAACGTGGACTTCCGCAGCAGCGCTCCCTCTCAAGGTCAGGTACCCTTTTTGGTTTATCGGTGTGCGCCTCGATTTCTCTCTCTCCGAGCATCATATAGGCCGGACGCAGACGAGTGGTTAGATGCTTGAATTCGCATCGCCCTCGCAGAATTCGCGGGACAAATTGTAAGGTGACGTTCTGTTTCCTGTGCGTTAATTCGCACGGAACGAACTTAGCCCGGACGCGGCCGACGCACACGTCAAAAGCCGAATGTATAGTATTGTTGCAATAAAGAGTAAAATATTCGAATTGATGAGTTTATTCTGTTCGAACCTGTCTCTCTTGTAATTGATTAAATTGCGATTATCTATATTACCGGACGACATAGCCCTCGTTAAATTTTCGCGACGAAGCGAATGCGCCTTCCGAGCCTTTCCCCTTAAATAATTTGTGACGCAACGTTGTTCGGGCTTAAATTATTAACGTACGTGTTACAGTTATTTCAGATGCTTACGTTATTTTCTTGCAAAAAGTTGAACACAATGAATCAATGCTACTAGAACCATCAATTCAAGGTATTTCATATTCAGATTCAAACAATACAGTAATTAATTCCAATTTTAATAATACGTCTACTAGTTGTCGGAAAAGAAAATCGATGTTAGATTTTAGGTTGCCTGAGGCAAAACGTAAACCATTAGTTATAACTGAAAATACGCTTCGAATTGTTGATCACAACAAGTCACAAATAGATTCTTTTACAATTCCACAAATTATTGCTCCAAGTACTCAAATTAAAAGCGAATTAAACGATGTTGAAGAGTTTCATAATCCTTGCAAGTATAATATTAAGGAATCAAATAACATGTTAGAAAATTCAATTCCAGACGGGAAAATTCTTAGTTATAGGCCATGTACTGAATCTAGTGAGAATATAAATTTTTCTAGTAACAAAGTTATCAAGAAGTCAATTACAACGAAAAGAAAAAACTATGACAAAGAGTATTATCAAAAAAATAAAGATATTATAAGTAGAAAACGTCAATTACGTTACATGAATAATCATCCCCAGACAAATATGAAAAAAGAAATCATTCAGAAAGAAGATAAGAATAGAACGTATTATGAGAAAAATAAAAATAAAATATTAGCAAATAAAAAGGAGTATTATGAAAAACGCAAAGAAAAAATACTGGATCATAGAAAAAGCTATTACAAACTCCATCGGGAAGATAAATTAATTAAGTGCAAGCGGCAACGTGCTTTAAACATAAAAAGAAAATATTTTATCATCAATGTGAAGCACACTACAAGAAAATTATTTCAGGAGAAACAAACTTGGGTTGCAAAAATTATACCGCTTTTAAATGTTCCTTCTACTTCAGAAGCTAAAATTAAAGCTGAACATTTAATTACTCGAGTTATTTCAGTTAGGGATAAATTTATATCAGAAAATAAGTCTATATTAAAAAAATTAAGAGATAAAGCAACAGTCGATTTAAGTCGTTTAGGAGATATTAATATTACCAATGTAAATATTAATAATGCTATTGCAGCCTTGTGTGGAACTTCAATGCATTCCTCTTATTCAGAGCCATACTTTTTCGAAGAAATTTATGACTATGGGAACGGATTACTTGTTACGGATTCGAGTAAAATGAATGTCATAGTGTTGAATGAGAATGGACAATCCACTAATGTCTTACCTTTACTTGAAGGCATAAAAAATCAAAATACTTGGTTATGCAGTCAATATTGTAAAATGCCTGATATTCACACTGTGAACGAGATTAGAAATCTTTTTGAAAATTTGATTAATTTGGTTTATGCAGATGCTTATGATTTTTTAAAAAATCTTGATAAATGTAGTGTCGAATCACAAAATCCTGAAAAACTTGGTCATCCTATTGTTTGTCATATTGGAATTTTCTTGTGCAATTCGACATTTTTGAAACTACGAAATATGGCTAGTCATTTTCCTTTTTTACGAGCAATTAAAGATATGATATATGCTTTACTTAAATGTTACAGAAATATCCAAGATGTTAATGAAGCTTTGAATAATTGTGATTTGGATACATTGAATAATATTGCATCTAAAGCTGCGTCGTTTTCGGTATTTCAATGCAAAAGTACGGATGAAATATCATTAGATGAAACTGAAATATTAAAGAAGCTTCATGAAGGCGTAAAAATTTATTATAACAGTTTGAACGATCTTCCATTAAATATTTGTGTTTCTTGCGAACGATTATGTCGCAATAAAAGTGTACTAGATGTTAAAAAATATGAACCAAATGTTACATGTGAATTATTAGGAATTAAAAATGATGTTTGGGCAAATTTAGTGCAATACTATGAAAATAATAATTTGATAGAAGTATTTGAAAATGGTAAGATTTGCAAAACTTGTTTGGAAAAACTTAAAAAAAATGCTATACCCCCTACGTGTCTTTTAAATAATCTTTACTTTAAACCTATTCCTGACGAATTGAAATGTTTGAACATGTATGAAAAGATTTTAATTCAGCGTGCAAAAGCATTTCAAGTTATCCAGAAAAAAAGCACTGTTATGAAAAAAAATCTACCTCATTACGCTCGCCATGATGAACTTGTGGGGAAAGTATTTCATTTGCCTCTACCTTTAGATGAAACGTTACGAAAATTGTGTAAAGAAACCGATCCATTGAACACTGCTCATGAGTTATATATATTGGTTCGAAGTATTCCTACTAAAGGTAAGATTATTTGGGAAGAATATGTAAATGTAAAAAGACTATGGGATGCTTTGAAATGGCTCAAAGAAAACAATACTCTTTATTCAAAAATTAATCTTCCTACTAATCCAGAAGATTTACTGAATGAACTCAAAGATACAGATTTAGAATATGTTGAAGAAGATTCTGCTAACAAAGTCGATCAAGAGAGTAAGGAAGCTGCAGGTATTACTAAAATGCCTGAGCCAGAAGCTTTATTGACAGCAAAATCGCAGTCGGACCCATTTTACGATGAATATACAATAAATGCTTTGCATGTTAAAAAACCGAATGACTCAGATACAAAATTATATCAAATGAAAAAAGTTTATGAAAATCCTTTAGCTTACAATGAGAAAGACTTAGATTTGAAATGTTTTCCAGACATTTATCCCTATGGTGAATGTGGCCAACGTGTTCCGAGAGATATCAGATTAAGAGATTCTGATTTTATTAAACATATATTAACATCTAAACATTCACAATTTAGAGAAAGCAAACAATTAATTTTTTATTATCTACATGATAGCAATATGAGAAATCTCAATGCAGGAATTTATCACATGTTACATGTTTTGGATACACGTTACAAATACACTGCGGGAAATTTCAAGAAACAATTGGATGAAAATGTTTTAGAATCCAATCTTTATTCTATATTTTCTCGCTTGAGAGGAACTGAAGCATACTGGCGAAGACCAAGAAGAGAACTGAATTGTATGACGCAGGAATACGGTCCAGTTACATTTTTTGTAACGTTAAGTCCGGCAGAATGGAACTGGCCTGATTTAGGTGAATTCATACGAAATTATCAGTCATTGGATAATGATTCTAGATCCAATAGTCAACTCATCGTAGACTATCCTATACCAGCTGCAATTTATATCGGACAAAAATTTAAAGCTATGATGGCTTATTTACTTTCTGACGCAAAACCTATAGGAAAAATTGAGCACTACTATTATGTTCGTGAGTATCAAGGTCGAGGATTACCTCATTTTCATTGTATTTTCTGGATAAAAGATGCTCCAGTAGTTGGCATATCTTCGAATGAAGATGTGAAGAAATTTATAATGCAACACATTACATGTCGTATACCCAATAAATATACTATACATCTCCAGATATGTATCGTAGAGTTATGGAATATCAACAACATAAACATAATGACTACTGTATGCGTAAAACTAAAACACGAAGTGGTTTCATGAGCACTTGCCGTTTCGAATTTCCGCGAAAGATAACGAAAGAGTTTATTTTACGTGCTGTTATCATGGCTATAACAAATCGTAGAAAGTTAAAGAATAATAGTAGGCTTTATGATCTGCCTCGAGATTTCAATGAACGATTTACAAATGATTATATGCCTGCTATATTTGTTTTATGGGAAGGAAACACTGATGCTCAATTTATTGGTGAATCAACACATTTCTTTTAACATATTACATTACATGTTATGGGACAAAAGGTGAAAAAAGTAATATTGATCTTACTGATATAGCATTGAATAGATCTCTTGGTAGTAGACTTTGGACCGTAGGTCTACGCGGACTTACTCACAGAGAATGTGGAGCTATCGAAGCTGCTGATACTTTATTAGGTCATCCACTTCATGAAACTGATCCAAATACTACTTTTCTATAGGTTGATTTTGGCTTTGAGAAAAAGAGAAAATTAAAACGGAAAGATGAGTTGGAGCTATTGCCTGAAGATTCAACTGACATTTTTTGTGATAATTTAGTAGGAACATACTATCCAAAGCGCCCTAAAGAGTTAGAAACTATATGTTTATACGATTTTGCTAGATTTTTTGATATATGGAAAAAAAAGCCAATTCGCAAAGCTGAATATTATAAAATGGATGAAAATTTATATTGTAGAAAAAGAAAACAAGCACGTTTAATTCTTCATATGAAATACAATCCTCAAACACAACCTGAACCCTACTATTTTTCTATACTAATATTATTTAAACCATGGAGAAAAACTGAGGAACTAAAAGGAAAACAAGACACATATCATAATGCTTTTATTGAAATAAAGGATGAATTATCTGCAGCACTTAAATATCATGATAAAATACAGATGATTCAAAGTGCCATGGATGAAGCTAATAAATTAATTGAGCAACAAGAATTAGCAAAGACGTTGACTCAAACATCAGAACATCTGGAAAACGCTGATCCTCTTGATGCATTACAAGTTATAAAAGATGTTCAAGATTTAATTGAAAAGGTCTGTGAAAAAAAAGACGATATTGACATAGATCAATCTATCAAAAATTTCAATACTGATCAATTGAGAATATTTAATACAATTACATCTGCAATATCATCTGGAAATAAAGTAATAAGAATGTTTGTTAGCGGATTTGGAGGTACTGGTAAAAGTTACCTAATTTGAGAACTTGGTTTTATGGAACAAACTTAAGAGAAACAAAAACACCGCTGTTGCTGCTCCAACTGATATTGCAGCATTTAATATCCAGGGACTGACAATCCACAGATTATTACAATTACCTGTAGAGCAAGGAGGCACAGCAAAATATAAACCTTTATCCGATAATGCGTTGAAAAGATTACAACAAAGTTTAAAGGATGTTGACTTTATTATCATTGATGAAATTTCGATGATATCAAATATAACCCTTATGTATATTCACTTACGTCTGGCAGAGATTTTTTGTACATCGGACAAAGAAGACGGTTGGTTTGGTAAAATAAATATTGTCGTATTTGGTGATTTATTGCAACTACCACCTGTGCGAGAAGATTTTGCTTTCATTGCACTAACAAGATCGCAAATTGAAAAATATATTAAAGGCATGTTGTCATTTAATTTATGGACTTTGTTCGAATATGAGGAATTGACTATAAATATGAGACAGAAAAATGATAAAGTTTACTCAGAAATTTTAGGTAAATTGAGATTGGGTTATTTAGCCAACTCCGATATAGAAACATTACAAAAAAGAAAGATTCCTTTTTCTAGTCATACTCCTTCAATTTCTCTTCATGAATTATACGAATATTTTAATAATTTGCCAAATAATACAGTGTGCTTGATGCCAACTAAAGATATTTGTGCAATACTTAATAATACCATGTTGGATAAGTTAGAGGCAGAAGAGATAAAGTTAATTGCTAATGATTGTTACAAATGCCCCAAAAGATTAGAAAAAAGGGTTTTGAAAATTTTAAATCAAGACGATGACAACGCATGTGGTATTTCTCGAGTGATCACAATAAAAATAGGTTGCAAAATTATGATACGAAGGAATATCGATGTGTCTATTGGATTAGTTAATGGAACTATAGCAACAGTTATTACAGTGAGCAAAGGAAAAACAGGTATAGATAGCGTTACCATTAAACTTCAATCGAATCAAGAGTATTCTATCAAACGATTAGAATATCAATTTCAAATAATGGATCAAGTATTCATTACTAGAGAACAATTTCCTTTTTGTCTCAGTTATGCTATCACTATTCATAAAAGTCAAGGTTTAAGTTTAGAAAATGCTGTTGTAGAAGCAGGAAATAGCATTTTTAGTTGTGGTCAAACATATGTAGCTTTATCCAGGATTACTAAATTAGAAGGTTTACATTTAATTAATTTCGATCCTTCTAGTATCAAAGCTAACGAGTCAGCTATAAGAGAATATAATAGATTGAGAAAAGAACATCGCCCAGATCTTGATACTTATAATATACCAGACACGGATCCATATAAAAATAACAAGATATTTGACAGTGTATGGTCTGTTTCGCGTCATGCACTGCAGGTTCAAGCCGATAATCGTAATAATATTCTTGAACGTCCATTGACTGACTTTAGAAGATAAAAATAGCTTATCGTATGCAAAATCATGTATACAATGTCTTTTTCACTGTCAACTTATCAGAAAATGTTTGCTTGAATGTAAGCAGCAAGACATCCTTTTACAAATATTTAACAAATATATATCAAAAACATCAGTTGATTTGGTTCCACTGGCAAATTATCTGAACACTGAATATTTACTACTTATTCAAAAAGATGCTGCAGATTATTTATTAGATATTTGCACAAAATTTGAAATAATACGCAAACTTACTGAGCATGAACTAACAATTGGAATTAGATGCCCGGGATGTGATTTTAGACCTGATCCTATTATAAAATCAAATTATATTTTAACCTTGTATTTAAACTCCCAAATTAATGGCGCTTATATATTGCAACAAATTATTGATGAGAATATTAACGTATGGCGTGATGTTCGAGAACATTGTGACAATAAATGTCAATATGAAAAACAACATAAAGTATCTCTTTCTATTGAACCCGAAAGAATTTTGATAATCAGACTACCATTATTTTCAAACAAAACGAAATTAGCTGGATTTAAGATTAATGAAGTGCCAAAGACTAAACTTTCTATCGGTGATAAATGTTTCAGAGTAATAAGTGCAATTTTCCATAGTGGGAAAGACTTGGAATATGGATATTACTTCAATGTCTTACGCGAAGAGACAAACTGGTTTCATGTATCTGATTTTTCATGCGTTAAAAAGCCATGGCCTAAAGGATCGAAAGACATCTACATAATATTCTTAGAACAGATTAACGGTCCTCGAAAAAAATTATAATCTTTACCGTCACGTGATTGGAAATTCTCATTCAATAAAAATTATTCGAATAGTCATCAATGAAAACAAATACAAAAATATTATAGAATTTTTAAAAAACCATGTACCAAAGGCATAAAATATAATTGTATAATGTTTTTAAAACAAATTAAAGCCCCTCAAAAAAGATATAAATCGATAATAGATATCTAATACAATTTATACATCTAATACAAATGCAAGAATATTTTCCAACAATATGCAATGCTGTAAATCCAGGTAAAATAGGCGAATCTGCAGTGAGAGCATGATTGACAACAATTTTGTTTATTAAAAAAAATTCAACAGTTTCTACTTGTTTCAATATACAAGCGATGGTTAAATAATATTAATGATCTAAATATGATCTATAATATATCCATGTGCAATGATTAATTGACACCTGAGAACTAACTTTCTCTCAGATGAGTTATACCTTTCCTGCCATTTTAGGGTATTCTTTTTATTTATGTCTATACCGGTAAAAATTAAAATTTCGTATTCAATGGTTTCGTGTAGAACCGCCATATTTTTGTCATTTTGGATGGTAAAATCTGCGCTACGATTTATTAACATTTTCAGTGTACCAGTATTATTGCAAGTACATCAGCCCAACCCCCAACCCCAAACACCTTTCAATAAAAGTATAAACTTGCAAACGAGTATCGATTCACTCAATATTTCTAATGTGTATATGTCAGTGCCATGTTTCAGCGTTTCTATTGCGTGTTAACGCCATGTTTTACGAGTATTTTTACCGTTTCAAAGAATGATAATTATAGCCTACGTTGAAATAAGTGATATCTAAAAAAAAAAACTTTTAACAAAGTGAAAAGTTGCATGAATGCTTTATTTGTCTTTTAATAATCAAATCAGTTTTTATTTATATCATACCCTTTACAGCACACTGTGTATCAATCAAAATTTATTAATTGTTTCTAAACTCTTGAAAGTAGTGAAATCTATATAACAGTGGCACAGATGCTAAAAACGAGTTTCAGATATTTTTCATAATTTTAATATATTTTCACAACTTTATAAACATTTTAATTATTATAATTTACGTATAAGTAATGTTTCAATCAAAATTTATTAATTGTTACTAAACTCTTGAAAGTAGTGAAATCTATATAACAGTGGCACGGTTGTTAAAAACTATTTTTCATAATTTTAAATATATCAAGGATGCGTAAAAAATGTTTATGAAGCTTTCAAAATAATGAAATTTCTAATATTTTCTTATTACTTTCTTTGATTTTCACTTTGCAAGTTTTTAAATTTTTGAAATTAGTGAAATCTATCGTAAAATGGCACGGATGATATTATATTTCAGATGCCTTATATAACTGAAATAAGTACAATTAAATATTAACAACACAATTTCTAGCAAATCAAATAGCCAGGTATTATTTATACCTTAAAATTTTCAATTATTTCGATCGATTTTTGGCAACTTTTATTCTTGCCGGGCCTGTCCGCCAATACGATCGTCAAGTACAAGCATGTAAAATACAAAATAATATAAATAGATTTTTCCTACTTGCGTATAACTCAAAAGAATTTTATGTTAAAAAATTACGAGGAAATGTACACGTCTAAATACTATAAAAAAAATTTATTTCGCCATGTTTCAAAGAGATTATTTCGCCATGTTTCAAAGAAAATATCTAAATACTATAAAAAAATTTATTTCGCCATGTTTCAAAGAAAATATTTCGATATAATTTTGATAGTAAACAATGTTAAACTACCTTTAGCAATTGTTTAACAACGCAATGATTAATACAAAAGTATTCCATATTTATCAATTGACTACAAGAGTGACCTGATCATTTCATTAGACTCTTACGAATACAAATTGATTAAAAATTATTGAAGTATTACATAATGATATGTGTACGGATAATTAAAAACTAGCGGTAAATTAATCATTTTATTCCAACAACAGGCGACAGACCCGGCAAGAATAAAAGTTGCCAAAAATCGATCGAAATAATTGAAAATTTTAAGGTATAAATAATACCTGGCTATTTGATTTGCTAGAAATTGTGTTGTTAATATTTAATTGTACTTATTTCAGTTATATAAGGCATCTGAAATATAATATCATCCGTGCCATTTTACGATAGATTTCACTAATTTCAAAAATTTAAAAACTTGGAAAGTGAAAATCAAAGAAAGTAATAAGAAAATATTAGAAATTTCATTATTTTGAAAGCTTCATAAACATTTTTTACGCATCCTTGATATATTTAAAATTATGAAAAATAGTTTTTAACAACCGTGCCACTGTTATATAGATTTCACTACTTTCAAGAGTTTAGTAACAATTAATAAATTTTGATTGAAACATTACTTATACGTAAATTATAATAATTAAAATGTTTATAAAGTTGTGAAAATATATTAAAATTATGAAAAATATCTGAAACTCGTTTTTAGCATCTGTGCCACTGTTATATAGATTTCACTACCCTATTGAAAAAATCCAGCTGGAAATCCAGGCTGGATTTCCATATGGATATCCAGGTGAATTTCCAGGTGGATTCATATGGATTCCATATGGATTTCATATGGATTTCCAAGCTAGATTTCCATATGGATTCCAGATGGATTTTTTTGGAAATCCAAGTGGATTTATCAATGTGGATTTGACGTGAAGTACAATTTCAAAAAATGAATAAATAACGTATTGGTTATCAGTGTAATAAATTCTACTAATAGATTCTATGGAGGATGAATTATAAAAAAAACAACAAAAAAAAGTGTCTTGACCAAGGCTCGAACCTGGGATCTTTATATTATCAGGCTTGTCCTTTACCACTTTGCTATCGATGACTGTAGGGATGCATTCTCTTTCTTTCCTATATCAAGTGCAACTTGAAAGTTGCGAATAAGCCATATTTCTACTCATTGTATTGTTCATCTCTGATTATTTGCATGAGTTTCAAATTAAGGACGTCGTCTGGTCCATTTCATATAATGACAGAATTTACTGAAACTCAAAATGATCATAGTTTGAAGTCTTCTGTACTCACACCAGTTTTTTGGGACATATAGTATAGTACTACATAAAGAGAAATATGATGTTTACCATATGCTCTTATGAGACGGCATCGAAATTATGCGTAAAAAAATAAGTGCCTTTATGGGGCAGCGTCAAAACTATAAGAAAAAAAGGTAAGCTGCTAACGCCGAGACTGCGATGATGACTTAAGAGAGCCTTCTTAAAATAAGGAAAAAAAAGTAAAAATAATGAGCGTTAGACTCGCAGGGTACTTCGGTTCTCGCAGGCTCTCGTGGTTTACCTGTCAGAGTTGTAGAGCTGTTACAGATTACGGTTTTCTTTCCAAAGGAAAAAAATTTAAATAATGAGCCTAAAACTCGCAGTGTATAGGGTTAGAAAAGAAAAACACTAATCCGAAATAACGCTACAACAGAGAGAGGTCAAACTCAAGAGCCAAAATCCAAGTACCCTGAACCCTGCAAGTTTTACGCTACATATTTTTTCTCACGCTCCCGGTAAAAAATTAAATTTTACGCTCGATATTATTACACGCATGTTCCATTGAGAAAAAAAAAATAGAGCCGACGCTACACCTACGCCGGCTATTTCCGGGAGCCGAAACCAAACCACCCTGGACCCGCCGAGTTTTATTCTCCAGACTTTTACACGAGTTTTTCTTTCTTCTTGAACAAATTTTGTTCACTCTGAAGAATTTGATCTCGGCTTTTAATTGTTGATCAAGATCAACAACAAAATTTTAAGAAATTTAGCTCTATTTATTCAAAAATTATTTGCTTTCATAGAAATACCTACAGAAAATATAACATATACTTACGAAATATTAGGTATAATATAAAAAAAATATGAGCACCAAACTCGCAGGGTACAGGGTTCTTGGATTTTGGCTCTCGTGGTTTGCATGTCTAAATTACAGCGGTGTTTTAGATTAGTGTTTTTTTTTTAAGAAAAAAGTAAAAATCATGAGCGTAAAACTCGCAGGGTACAAGATTTTTGGGTTATGACTGTCGTGGTTTACCTCTCTGAGTCGTTGCGTTGTTTCAAATTAATGTTTTTTTTTCTACAGGAAAAAATAGAAAATTATGAGCGTAAAACTCGGCGGGTCCAGGGTAGTTTGGTATCGGCTCCCGGAAATAGCCGGCGTAGGTGTAGCGTCGGCTCTATTTTTTT